TTTATTATAACAAACAACATATAATGGTAAAAGGTTTGAGTAATAACTGGCTTCAATAGTTATCTTGATTGCCTATGCACTTCACGAAAAAGCGTGTAGCACAATAAGAGGTTCAGACAAATGTAGTAATTGCAAAAGCTTAGAAAAGTTCCCTTTTAAAATTTACTATATGAATGTTTATAGCTGGTATCTAACTGTACCAACTACAAAGCTTCATTTATTCATGAAATTCTTTGATAGTTAAAAGGTTATTGTTTGAAACCAAGAGAATGAATTAACAACTAGTGTAATTTCAAGAAATAAGTGATAATATATATAAGTAAGAAAAACTTATCCACTTTTACAGATGGCAATCAAGGTTACTTGAAATGAATTTAGTCCTGCATCAGTTTTCAGCATTTTATAACTTTGCATAATAATAATAATATTTTCACTTATTTATACTTAAATTACTAATTAATTTTACTGATTACATATCATATATAAGCAATAGAGAAAATCTGAGTTAGAGACATTTGTAAGACTTATGAAATATATAAAATATTTTTAATTAACAAGTTTGATTGGTCTTGACACTTAGTACAATTAAACTAGGTAGTTTTTTTTAATCAAAAAATTTTGTTCAACTCTTTTAATTATTTGTAATATATATCATTACTTTTAAATGAAATATAATCCATAATCAAATAACTATTTTCTTATTTAAGAATTAAAACAAAATTATAATTCCATTTATTGTATACTAAGGTTTCTTTTTAACAATTTCAAATAAAAACTTGGTAAAAGAATGACGTAAGAAACAACCATAATCAACATAAAATAAACATTAGGCAACTGAATATGGTATACATCTTTGTTTCTTTTTCTATTTGATGTTTGTTTGGAATTTCGTGCAAAGCTACACAAAGGCTATCTATCCCTAATTTAGCAGTGAAAGACTAGAGGGAAGGCAGCTAGTCATCATCATCACCCACCACCAACTCTTGGGCTACTCTTTTAACAACAAATAGTAGGATTGACCGTCACAACATAATGCCTCCACAGCTGAAAGGGCGAGTATGTTTGGTGTGACAGGGATTCGAACTCATGACCCTCAGATTGACAGTCAAGTGCCCTAACCACCTGGCCATGCCAGGTCTTTTCTATCTGAAAAGCTAATCTTATGGCTTTATATTACTCATACAAAGGCATTTTAAAACATCAAAAATATGTCCTAAAGGTGATGTTGGGTTAACATAATACATAGGTGACTAATACATATGGCAGAAGGGGGCATATGCCCCATCATGGGAGGAAAAACTTTATATCCACCCTCACTTTGTTCACTTAGTGTACATACACTGTTATTAACAACTATGTCAGACTGACAAAATGATCAAACTCATGATCAGATATCTACAATTTCAAAACTTGGTAGTACCAATGCTTTTGACAAGTACTAAACACTGAAAATGAGGTTTCCTTTGCTTGTCAGAGATTCTAAAATAGAGTTATCAAACCTTTTTTTTCTCTCCACCCCACCGCTTTCCAACAAAGTTAGGTACTCCAGCAAAATCAATAAATATATTAAACATTTAATTCAACATAAACATATATATAATGAATTTTAAATGTTAACAAATACACTAACTTTTTCAAAATCATTAATTTTTTTCTAAATACAAAATAAATTTGCACAAGAGAAACCAGATAGCAGAATAGTACATTATTAACAATAAAGATAAACAAACAATGAAAAATTTGTTATTCTGGGTCAACGGATGCTGTGTTTATAACACTAATTTCATAATTCAACACCAACTTAAAAGGAATACCTATTGCCATTGTCACTTTCATTGTGTCTTAACAAGTATTTAATAAGCCTTAGATATATATAAGAATGGGTAATTTTATACAAAGGTATGGCACTGAAAGAAAAAAATTAGACACAAACACATAACTGAGAATTCAGCAATAATGGATAATATTTTGCTTTCATTGATGATCTGAATTAATATATAGTACTGTTAGGCTTATATTAAGATGCTGACATTGGTTGTAGGCTTTGTAGTGATATTTTTATTTGATGTTTAGAGAATGTTGGGCCACAGAGGTTTATTGTTGTTAGATGTGTTGATGAAAATGAATATTGTCTAATAAACCTGATTTCTACGGGGTTTTGAATCTGTTTTACATCACTGTTTAGAAAATAAACATACACACGAAAAGAAATCTAATACATGTATATACATGCACATACACAAACTTGATTTCTGATTTAAAAATAAAAGGAATAAACTAGGAGTTGTCTATAATATATCCAGAAATCAAACACTGTTTGTTTTATATGTTTGCACTGACATTTTAGCTTCATAGCAGTATAATTACTTGCAAAAAAAGGTTGGCATCTGAAAACTGAACTTTGACACAAGTCTTTGAGTAGCTAAACATTGTTAATGAAGGGAACTCTGGGAAATAAATTTACTGAAAACTGAAAGTAAAACTGGATAATAACGGTATTAAATTCAATATTACAAATAAATAGGCAGTCAGAGCAGAGATGATCAATCAGATAAGTTAGAGAAGGTTTTGGATCAATCCACAAAATTCCATTTACAACAACGTATCACAAGATCAGTATTTTATAAAATTAACTATACCAAACAGTTTCATGAGAATGATGTAGATGGAAAGTAATTTAATTTAAATATACCCACTATCCGTGGTAGTTCTTGTATCCCTTACCACCATATCCTCTGTTCCATGGTATTTTATTCCAAACTTTATACAGTAGTTCTGCTAAAGACTGATGAAAAACTAAAGTCCTCCACCAAGGTATATGACTTCAGAAGATTTTATGGCAAACTGTTAATGCTTCAGCAAAGACAAAGGTCTTTCAGAGGGTTAATCTGAAAATATACTAGGTGGCTTAAGGTGAGTAAAGAGTTTTGTTAGTTTTTCTGTTTTTTGGACATTCATGCAAAGCTATTCAAGGGATATCTGCACTAGCCATCCATAATTTTGAGCTGATAAGACAAGGAGAAGGCAGCTAGTCAACATCACCAACAACTACCTCTTGAACTACTCTTGTCTGAGTGAAGAACAAGATATGGCTGTTACTCTTATAATGCACCTATTTCCACAATGTGTGGAACTCAATTGTTTTTTTGGTAATAATGTGGTGTGAATGATGGACTCAAAGTTCCATAATGCATCACTCTTACCACTTGGCCATGCTCACCTAATTTAAGGTTCTTATCAGTTGGTCAAAAGAAAAATATGGTTATAGTAAAAAAAAACAAAAAGATTTTACACTTTCAAATATGGCAAGTCATCAAAGCCAACATAGATACAAGTATACTCAATAACATATGTATGACAGTGGTTTTAAATAAATCCTTTATAAATTTCTTGATGAAGGACCTAATCCAAAAGATATAATCTAATGTGAAACATTGTTAAGCAGGGGTGAATTTCTACAAAAAAAAAAAAAAGATTAGAGGTACTCAGCTGTGTAAATGGAACTCTTTTTCAAAAAGAAAAAAAAAATCTACGTGTAAACATAAAAAACAACAAAGCAACTCAAATCCCAATACTAGTATTGCATTAAAAAATAAGTTCCAGTACTCAGTACTGGCAAGTACCAGCAAAATTTCACCCCTGTTGTTAATTAACAATGGAACTTTGTATCTGCCTTCTAGAATTATTAGGCATGAATCATTTAGCTCTCTGTGGCCAATTTAAAAATTGGAGATTGATAATTTACTGATAACCATTTCATATAGTGGCTGTAACAGTGCAATGTTAAGTTCCATGTAATTGCCAATGAATTTTTATTGAGAGATTCTAATATTCATGAGTGTCTAATAAACAATATTAAAAATAAGATTCTTTGTGACAGACACATTCTTTGCTCTATTATCTGGTACAATAAATGAAAGGTGTGATTGTTTACACTACAGAAAATTTAACAAATTATATTCCATGCATAAAACAGATCAGCATTTACTGTCCAACTAAAGTGAAATATTTGTACTTTCAAGTTATTATTAAGTATGTACTTCTCCAAACTCATACATTCACTCAATCAGTATATTGCAAACTCAGCTTTATGTATGGAACAAAGTGCTTGATTATCAGTGCAAGCACCTCACAAACTTCATGGTTAATTATCATACAGTGAGAAAACTACCTACTAATATTATTACAACTATCCCTGTTCTAGAAATTGGCATCACAAATCTAATGATGAATTACTGATAGCCAAAAATAGCCTTTTCTGCATGTTATTAAATACAACACTGTATAATGGTTATCACATCATGAGTATTGAAACCTGGTTTTTTAGCAGCATGAGCAACTGGGGGGCAGTACTTGCTGCAGGCCTGAATTTGCTAAAGGTAGTTGTATGACATAGTATAGATTCTCAACTGTGTTTATTACCACACAGACTCTTAAATACTATACCTACAAACACTACACTGCATTACAGACATTGTAATTCATTGTAACAATGTTATCAGTCTTTTCAAGAAATCATATATTTGCACTTATGCAAAAGTTTCATTTAAATGTTTACAATACATTAAAGAAGACAAGTTAGATATTTCATGTTATTACTTATGTAACTTATCATCACAATTTCTTTCTGTTCACGCTACAGTAATTTTCAAAAATCTGCACAAAATGCTGATCCTACGGCAGAAGTATTAGCTATTAAACAAAACTTTTTCTACCTCAAAACTGAAATCATCATAAAGTTAGATCTTCATGCAAAAATTCATAAATCAAAGAAGACTGCCAGCAGTACCAAATAGAAGGATTTCAGTTAAACTTAAATATTTTAAGTTTTTACATAAATATAATTTTAACATCCAATATTTTTCTGATGTTAAAAATTCCCATGTAAATGTTTTACCTTAATACATATATTAAAACACTTATAACAAACAATTACAAATGTATTCTAGATTAAAGTACATGTTTTTAAAACAATATTGGAAAACACACTACATACAGAGATATATATATATATATATATATATATATATATCCACATGCCATTTTTTTGGCAATTAACAATGCAGTAACTTGTAAACAAACACTTCCCTAGGAAGACTGCCATAAGATGTTTAATCACAGCAACTACAATCCCCACTTAATTTAGATAAGATGCAAGTCAAATTAGTTTATAGATTCTACTAGACTGCCACACCAATAAGGACAATATCTCAATGGTATAACTATGTCACCTCGACTTTCTTTTATCTTCTACTGTACATATCAGTAACATGGCAGAGATAAGACCAAACAGCTGGATAAAAGCAAATGCCATACAGATGATACCCATGATGTACAAACGCTCCATCAGCCACATATGGATTTTCATATAGCAGCCCTGCATTTCAGAAAAACAAGTTATCAGACTGGATTCTTTCAGAAGATGCAAGTTATTAGTATTTATCTAATATTTCACATTTCAGTTTTGGATTAAAACATCTGTTATTCTTCATAGATGAGCATCCAAAAGTCAACATAGCAGAAAAACATAATTAGAATAAACAGTTTTTGATGTTTAGATTAAAGTTTCTTTTTTTCTTATTCTAGATAATTACTTTTAGATTGTACATTGAATAATTAAAAATATTTAAGCTGTTTCATAGTTCAACTTCTTTTTATCCAGCAGGCCAACTAAGTACTTGCATGTTCTAAGAGATTTGCAGTGTTTGTAACTGATAATGTTTTGTCTGCATTTCTGTGGGTTTTCTACATTTGGTTTGATGCAGTGTGCTACTTGTTTTAATCATTTCATAATTATATCTGAAAATTTAAGAAGTCGCTTCTGTTTAACTTGATAAAAGTTCAGTTTTATGTTAGAAAGAAAATTAAAAGTAATGAAACACCATTCAATCAGAAAAATGAAAGAGATACCCAACATGAAAGAAGAGCACATCAATTAATCAGTACGTAACAAGAAACTAGAATTTTGTATCTATTAACATTAGAAATGGGCAAAATTTCACAAATATTGTGAGAACCTATTTTGAAAAATTACACATAGATTCTGTTTACTTAGAGAAGGAAGAATTTGCAGATTACACTGGACAACAAAAAATTTGCTATTGGAGAAAACTCAATAGATTCAGGGTTATTTGATGGTGTTGAATTCAAAAATGTAATCGGAATTTGTCCATTGCCTCTAGACTTTGAGTTATATTAATATCTCAATATTTTATCAGCACTATGTGAAATACCATGCAACCAACTCAGTACTATAGATTTATGTTGTGAAATTAAGTTTACTTGGACAGTTTAATGGAAAAAAGGCATACATTTTTGATAACTTTAAACACTGACTGTATTGTATTGGTGTAAAATTCCAAATATATTGTTCATATAAGCTATTTGTTCTTGATATAATTGTAGTGAAATTGAGCCACTATTGCTTCATTCCCATGCTAACCTTAGGTGTCATGAAACCCTCATGTGCTCAGTTTACTAGAACATTTGAGAAGTCCCTCAACTGATCATAAAAGGGTTGGAGTGAGGTGTCTCTCACTCACTCAGTTGGTCAATTTGCCTTGCTTCAGGCACAGTCAAAACAAAGTCAGATCTTCTTCTTCACATCAATCCTTACAATATAATCAGATTCTGCAAATATTTGTTTTTAAAATGTTTTTTTTAATTCTAAATCTGTAAACATAAATTATTTTATAATTTTTAGAAAATTATTTGAAATTCTGGCTGCCTCCAGTTCCAGTAATGGCCAAAAGTGTAAAAATCACCCAAACAGTTTCTGCTATATTTGTGAAAAAATATATATATTACAGTTTCACAAAGGAAAACATCACACACAAGGTAAAGATAGCTTTCTACCACTATTTTGGGTGTAAAATTGGTGAGCAAGAAAAACATTGGGCTCCACATGAGTGTTGTACAGTTTGCACATCTGGCTTCACACAGTGGCTGAATATGAAGTGAGCAAGTATGCCATTTGTAGTTCCCATGATATGGCATGAGTCCAAAGATCATCTAACTGACTGTTATTTTTGCATGACTGTTTCTTAATATTCAGGCAAAACTAAATAATACATTAAATATCCAGATATTGCATCTGCAATGAAACCAGTACCTCATGGGGATGGTTTTCCAGTGCTACATCCACCAGCAAATTGGGAAACAGAAGAGTTATTCTGCAAAGGCAACAATGAATTATCTTCATACTCTTCATCTGGTACTTCTATTTCTGTGGCAACTCAACATAAACTGCCTCATCAAGAAGAGCTAAATGATTTGATTTGTTACTTGTCTCTATCAAAGCAACATTGGGAACTCCTTGGTTCTCATTTATAGCAATGGAATTTATTAGCTCCAGGAACAAGAGTTTCAATTTACTGAAGTCACCATCAAAATCTTGCTTCTCACTATAGCATGCAAGATAATTTGTGTTTCTGTACAAACGTTGATGTAGTAATGGAATAATTGGGTACTGAACATCATCTTCAAGAATGGAGACTTTTTATCGAATCATCTAAACTTAGTCTGAAATCTGTACTTTTGCACAATGGGAACATTAAACCATTAATTCCTGTTGCTCATGCTGTGAACATGAAAGAAACATATCAAAGCATGCAGATTATACATTATTAAATGCAATTTTCAATGAATAAATAAGGTTATTAAAGAAAAAGTTATTTTCACAATATATAAGAATATTTTGAATACATCTATCATAACTCAAAAACTAGAGGCAATCAGTAACTTTCAACATAATTTTTAGAACCAGCATCGTCAAATTACTCTGGAACAGTTGCACTTTTTGTATTATCAGAGAAAGTTTTTTTGTTACCTTAGTGACCTAAGAAGGGTATCAATATGCTTTACATAGAAAGGTTTTCAAATAAGACTCAAAATTCGAGCACTTTTGAATAGTTCAGTATAATTCTTCAGAAGAACAATTTTGCCCTTTATTCTCCTGAAAAAGAATTGTGAACTATTCAAAAGCACTCAAGTTTTGAGTCACAAGTGAAAAAACCATTACAACTTTTGAATGTGATCCTGTGATCTAACTTATTAACCAGATTTTATATAGAAAGAACACACTACAGATTCTCACTTGTAATCAGTCAGAAAAAAATATGCAAAATACAGAAATATACAAAACTAAATGAGTATTTAGTCCTTCCTACCTGAAATACTATCAGTATTTAAAAAAACAAAGTTCTACCAATTTTGTTTCTTGTCAGAGGAGAGAATTCTGACAGAGAGGGGAAAATTCTCAAGTTCTGTACAATTCAATCATATTCTGAAGACCACAGGAGTTTCATGCATGAAGCAAGAAACTCCTTAGACATAGACAACGACAATCCTTATGGATAAAGTTAACTAACCAGAAAACAACAGCATCTAAATGGATAAAAAAGCTGGCCTATAAATGTATATAACTATGCTATCCAACCTTCTGCTCACAGCTTTTATTACAGTATCTATAACAGCTAAAAGATACTGTTTACTAATAAGAAAAATTTATAATTTTTTTGCTTGTTGTGAGTAAAACAATTATTTATCTACTATCCCTAATAGTTTTAGTTGTAATAAACTTTTGAATGTCAATGCAAAGATAATTTATAAAGTATACCAAATGTGTTTCTTAACATGGATAGTAATATATAATGCCATGCGAGAAGAGTACTTTTTGACTATTAAGGTTGACACGTCAAAGTCCTCCATTACAAGCTATAACTTCACAAGGTTAACAGCTATGGTCTCAGGAAGTTTTACAAAGAAATCTTATGGCTCAGCTAAAGGCAATCTAGAAAATGATTTGGCAAATACTGTACCTTACCTGTTATTCCAACTCTCAACAGTTAGCAAAATGAGAATGTTGCGGAAACATACAAAAACATAAGCTTCTCTGTGAAAAGCGTTAATACATTTTCTAGTGGATAAAATCATCGACTGAGGTTGTAATTTGGAAAAATTCTTGCGAGCAATTTATATTCAGATTTTAGAATGTGGGGAAAATACTTCCTCTTGTTTTTTGCCACTTATAAAACAGGTTAATACAGGCTTGAGAATGTAGCCTGGGGGCAAAACTCCCATGATTTCAATAAATCAGGAAAAAAATGCCTTGAAATAAAAAAATAATATATTTCCAGTTTCCAATAACTATAGAAAGTTCTGCAATTCTTTTTTTAGTCAGGCCCATCATAAACACTTTTTTACACCCGTGTCAATTTCTGACTCAAGCCTTATGGTATATTTCGATAAATTTCACCATAATGTTTCTTCACTTGTCACCTCGAAAGCATATTTTCCTACTATTGTTTAGAAAATGTAAGTGTTCACAATACTTGTAAAATTTTAGCAGTAAGATATTTTCACATGGGAAATACAATTAAAGTTCATTCCATCGACACTTGATCATGACACCCCCCCCTCAGAGATAGTGAAAAAAAAAATTTGGAACTCCAATGATCAACAGAAAATTTTCATACTTGTGAATAATACAAGAATTCACAGTTCTGAGCTATAGCAGCCACATATACCACAAATGAATAATGACTTGATGTAGCAATACATGGCTAAATTGAGGCTTGACACAAATAGTAATAAGATCAAAGATCTGATGTCATGCGAGTCGTGAACAAATAATAAACAAACTAAGGTAGGAAAGAAATCTTTGAAGTTATTAAGAACGTATATAGGATGGTAATATTTTCACACACTTCTCTAACAAACCTCAATATATAAAAGTTATAACAAGAAGCTTCTGGAAACCTAGAAGAGAACTTGGCTTCATGAGAGTAGAACACAAATATTAGGAGGAACAGAATGAAGCTTAATTAACAGCATGAATTCTGGGAGTAAGAAGAGATACACGCTATCAATGTAAAAATCAATATACTACATTCCAAAAAGTAGACTACATTTAACTAATATGTACTGAGTGTACTATTTGGATTCATTTTCATTTTTTTGTTTTAAACAAGATCACACTGTTTATATAAACAGAAGCTATACCTGGGGTGTTAATATTTTTCTTTCAACCAAGCCTACCTGTTGATGCCACATGTAGATATCACGGGTTTTACCACAAGTAGAATTTTTTCTGAATTCTGCTAAGCAACAAGACTGAGGAACCCATTCCTTCTCAGGCCAAGCTGCAATCTTGTGCCAGTCTGTGTACTCCTTCACCCCACAGCAGTCAAACTGTAAATTTCAACATTAAACTCTAATATTCACAAAAGTCTTAGAGCACAATTTACACCCAACATTTAATATTATAGAATATAATATATGCAAATTAATATTCATTTATGTTTCTATATGTGCTTATCAAGTTTTTCACAAAAGTAAAAGGCATAAAATAATTTTTTCTGATTTCACAATTTCTCAAATAAACTTTTTTAGGTATGTAACGATTATTTAGTTTAGCTGACATAAGTACTTTATAATATTCTTACAGGAAACAGCTAATTACTAAATTTTATAACAGCCAAAAGCTACTTGAAATTCTGCATAAGGCAATATAAATTTCAATCAGCTTATTATAATGATTACTGTATTATCTCAGAATTAAGAAATATAATCATTTGACATCAAAGAAAGAAATTAACTAAAGAAGAACACAGGAGGAACTGATCAAAGTTTCCTTCTTCCCTCCTAACTGGAATACTGGAGAATAAAAATGTATGTCTGCATATTAACATGACTATTATACAAATTTTTATCCAGATGGAACTGATATACCTTTAACTGAATTTGGTCCCATGTATTCTTCAGTCCAGCATCATTATTAATGGTGTATTTGTCTTTTATGCCTACTTTAAGTTCCTCTTGTAGTGTCTCTCTAATCTACATAAAGAAAGTGATAAAAGTTTATTTTAAATATTCACACAAAGCCATACAAGAACTATCTGTGCTAACTGTTCCTAATTTTCAAATGATAAACTAGAGGGAAAGGCTAGTCAACAGCATCCACCACCAACTGTTGGGTCACTCCAATTGGATACTAGGTTGACCTTCATTTTTGTAATGCACCCACAGACCCAAAGAACAGAAAATGTTTCTGTTGCAACAGGACATAAACCATGGACCCTCAGGTTCACAATCTACGAATGCTGGCCACTAGGCTTAAGGAAGAGTTTTATTGATGGTGGAACATACTACATGTTTCAACAGAACATTGGTCTATCTTCTTCAGATATGATCAGTACTAAGTAATAACTGCAATTACTTAGTACAGATCATACCTGAAGAGGACAGACCAATGTTCTGTTGAAACATGTAGTATGTTCCACCATCAATAAAACTCTTCCTTATGCTTATAGATTGTTTTCCTACAAATTATTATATTAGCATAATGTGCTTCCTCACTCAAGTAACCACTAGGTCACCCCCAAGGAAAATGATGAAAGAAAGTTATCAATATAAAAAAAGTATTCATTATACTAAAACAAAATCATATACAGCCAAAAATGTGATATTTACAAACCAACGTAGACTTCCTTCTTCAGGGATGACTTGTGTTAATACATCAACAAATGAATATTGCATGTAAATAAAATGAATTAAAAAAAAAGAAACCAATGATAATTTCATAACTTACATGCTTCCTATAAGCAAACCCTAAAGTGCCAGCTGTGAACTCAAGGAGGAAAACTAACACCACAATGATGAAATACTGTAAATAAAGACAAGAAATAAGAAATTATCTATTATGATAAAATAATTTATAATTATTTAATTTTCATGTAATATTTTGTCACACTTTATTTGTTAATTTAAAAAAAGAATAAAAAAGATGTCACTACTATTCGAAACAATTATAAAACACATTGCAAGTATTATAAACCATTATGATTAAATTGTTAAATAAATAACTTCTTAACCTTGCGTTAGTCTTCTGTAAAAACTTTCCACAGTCACTCTTCTGGGGTCCGATCGGATCCCATCATAAAAAATTAATTAAAAATATTCAAATAATAATAAACTATTATTTTGGAAAAAAGAACCAGTAACACACAAAGTATTTTCTTTTATTAATCAATAAATGAACATTGAATAAGATAACTTATTTCTTTTTTACCACCTAAACTAAATGTAACAATTTAACACAAACTAGCCAAACACTGAAGTTACTGAGAACAGCAAACATGTACATACTTCCATCTGTCGCCACCGATGTTTACACAATATTTGGGGTCCGTGAAGACCCTGCAAGACTAATGCAGGGTTAACTTCTATTTCTATAAGTACTTCTTATTCAATATTTTAATATCAATTTTTCAAACATTATGAATTTGCAAAGAACTATAACTAAAACGATATCTTCTAAATTTATATTTAACTTGAAGCACACCTGACTTCATTTAAATATTTGTCATGGTGATTATTAATCAACAAACACATGTACAAGTAAAACTTTCATTTCTGACAAAAACTTGTTATTCCAATATTTAAGAAACAGAAAATTCTAAATTTGTGGGAGAGAACAGTACTTTGAATATTCCATAGTTTTTTTTATTGTCTTTTTAATTTTTAGAGCATAAACTACTATTCTGTGCTGAAATATTTTACAACAAAATGAGCAAATGGATATACCTTCAAATATCACTTTTTTGTCATCTTTTGTACCGCACTAGACTATTTTCACCACTTAACCATCAAATCAGTTTTCATTTTTTTTGTAGAAAAAAAATTGTTTTTTATTTTATATATATATATATATTAAAATTTCTAAAACAGTATGACGAGATTGTTTTAAGTATCTAGAAAAAAGTTTAATTGCTGTCAATTCAACTCTAAGAAATTCACAAAGCTATTATTTCAAACTTTGCTTTAGAATAATGAGCCTATTTTTATAAAGAATTATTAATTTTGTATTGCATAATCAAGTAACAGAAAAAAAATTAATAATTTTGTTTAATGAGATAATCATTTTCATAGATTGAAGTTCATTAAAAATGTATTTTAAATGTTTTTCAATTAACCCTCCTTATACATCAGTTTCCATCTTACTTATATCACCTGGGATGTATTTGCACCACAGCCTAAAAACAATAGTAGTGTGTTGATCTGACAGTATACACTTAGGGAACTAACAATGAAGAGCCCCTCAATACCTCAAAAAAAAAGGTTACTTGATAAATATAAAATGAGGTGTGGTGCAAATTCATCCCAGGTGGTGTAAGTAAGTATAATCAAGAATAAAATTGTTTAGTAATGCAAAACATGGGGTTGGAATGAAACAGATTTGTGGATGCAAAGGGTCAAAATAATGAGGAAGGTAACGTGTGTCACAAATACTCTGGTTGAGTAATATACATCTGAAGTGTAGAGGAATAGGGTGTAAATGCATCCAAAGTGGTATATGTAGGGCTAAGGATAATTTTTTGTGTGAATATATTACAGAAATGCTATGGTACATTAACTGAAACAAGGCATATTTAAGATTAAAAAAATCACAAAGTACTTTACTGTTGTTAACATGGTGCGATTCTCTCAGGATGTATTTAGATAGTGTTTCTTAAATTTACATACAAGGTAATTTAAGTACATGTTTTTTTCTAACAACATTCAAACCTTTGATAAAAATATTTATTTATTTTGAAGCATATTAATGGTGGAAATGATATAATACTCTATTGAAAATGTACAAGAAAATTACTAAAACAAACAAACAATAGATGCTTACAGTTGTTACTAATGTTGTCTTCCCCTCCAATATGTATCAGTCGTATAATAACATTAAAATATCATAAACACTGCAAAAATATCCTAATTGAAAAACTGAAATACTCACGACCACGAGAAGGCATTTAGTTTCAAACCAAGATCCACAACAGCCAAGAAATCCAACAAGGAATATAAGGACTCCAGCAGCCATACATAGGCTATCAGCACTTAGTACGCGATAAGTTGGTAACAGTTTTGCAAACCCTCCATATGCTAAATGAAGCCAGACTCCAACTCCCAGTATGCCACACCCTATAATCTAAAGTCATTGTGTTAATTCTTTTTTTTACTTTTAAAGATTGAAATTAAAAATTCCAAGATTAGAATTTTTTCTCTTTCTCTTGTTTTTTAGAAATCAGTATGATAATCAAACACTAACAATAAATATATTTTACTGAAACTTTTCTGTAAGATGAATCCAACACCTCAAATGTAACAGTAAAATAGGTTTGTATGTACTAATTATTTTTCATCATAGTAAATTATTGGTATTTTCACACATTTTTTGTCATATTCATCCCATATTAATTTATGTTGCACATTTGTGAATTTGTTTGTTCACAAACTCCTCTCACAGTCTTGGAGTTAACAGGGTGGGTCAGAGGTTCTCAAGTTTGAAATTGTGTTGATACCCTCATTCAAAATCTAGCAATACCAAATGTGGCAAACGTGTTCAGGTACCATGGGCAGGTGTCCTAATAGGGTTTTCCATGGTGTGGATCCCCCCTCTCCCCCTTGATGTAGCTAAAGAAGTAATTGGATATAATAGACAAGCCTGACTGGTACATTGGGGCCTATTCAAATCATGAGGGAGGCCTTTGAACCCTGCAGCAGTATGCAGGTATTTTATGCTAACATATTTAATAACTGAAGTACTTTTGCTATCCATAATAAATACTTGTATGCTATTTGAGCTGATACAAAACTTTCATTAAAGATGTATTTACATGTACCTCTACTGTACATTTAAGCTAGCATACTACTGAAAAGGTTTACAGATATTTATCCATATCTAAGAAAAGAAAATTTCCTGAAACACAAGGTCATACTCTTCAGTTTACAGTGCAATACAAGCAGACCCACCTAAAGAAAAAAACCACCTCCTGATTAGTGCATCTTTGTTCAAGAGAGAATATCATAAGACATTTCACAGCAGCAGCAGACAAAAATTATCAGAAAAGCTGTCAATGTTTTATAAAATTAAAATTACAGTATCTAGATACTTAATAGGATTGTTACTTGTGTATTGCCTAGCAATATATCACACTCTTACGTCTTCAAATAGAAAATGTGATTCATTATGTTATCTACTGTTGCCCAGGTAACATTCTCTATTTTAAAATGAAAGAAACTGGGGTTGATTATTATGCTATATACAAAAAGCAACAATCCAACATTGGCCATCAATCTTGTAAAAACTAATAAAACTTAGTAGTAGTGAAAATAGTTTGGAACAAAATTAGTTAATTGTTCACTAATGTACAATAAATAAATAATGTACAAACAAGTATGCTGTTATGAAATAAACATAAAGATATATCATATTAATACTGCTGATGTTTACTATAGTGAATCCCCTTCTTGAAGATGCACAAAGGAAATACTGGAGCCTTTACAAAATGCTAAAACTCACCCAAAAAAACAGATTGAGCCAACAAAGTGTACGACGAACACACGTATAGCCTGATCTTCCCATTTCTCAACTTTTATAAAGTCATTGAAACTAAAAAAAAATCAAAACAAAAAAACAGAAATTAAGGAAATTAAAACTTTTTGTTAAACAAAACAAAACAATCTCCAGTCTTATACATTCATTTATTCTAAACTTTTGATTGATAAATACATTTTAAGGTAGTATTTTAAAATGCATAACTTGGTAGAATTCCATTAAGCTTGAACACTCCATGACATTATTCAATTCAACTAATGTTTACTTGTCCTAACATTTATATTATTTAAACATTATATGTTTGTTGAATTTCAAGCACAGGTAACTGTGGGCTATTTCTGGTAGCCATCCCAAATTTTGAAGTGAGACACTACAAAAATCATAATCAACATTGACAACTATGGTATACTTGTCAGACCAAATAGAGAGAATTAATCATCTTTCCTATAATGCACCAACAGCCCCAAATTGCAGAGCACAATTTTATTTTGGCAGTAACAAGGTTCAAGCCTTTGATTCACAGTCTTGCACACTGACCACTAGGCTACCCCATTAAAAAAAAAAAAAGATAAATTTAATTTATGTTTGTAAATAACACAAGTGTTTCTGAACTTCATGTTGCTCAATTTCATGTTTCTGCTCAAGAAAACTGTAACTTATTGTGGTATATCTTTGTACAAAATATCAGCATTGTGATGAAAAAAAAGGTACTTATAAGAACTGATAAACTTGAAAAAAACAACAAAGATTTTACATTTGAAGATTAATAACTTACCTGAAATGAGTAAGGGATGAAATAACAAAACAAATAAATTGAAATTTAAAAAAAAAGGTAAATGTACATAATAAATAAATAAAATAAAAAGCACTTTGCAAAAAAGGAAAAACTTTGGCTCATTTAGGCTTTTTTTTTATAGTACTCAAAGCACTCATTTATTTCAATAAGCAGTTGTACAACACAGCTTAAACAGGATAGCATAGTGATCTTATATAAATTTAGAAGAAAAATACTGAATTATTCATGAGCTATTTTACTTCACTATAGCATTTTAGAAGTATTATTGTTTTACCACTAACCATAACACATTCAGGAATAAATACTGAATTTATCATTATCAAATTTACAGTCCAGTCTAAAGATCATCTCATTCTTACAACTAGTGTCAATCTCTAGCTATAAACGAATTAACAAGTTAGTAAAAGTCTTCATTTTATATCGAGTGTCAGTCTCTAGCTGCTACAAACGAATCAACAAGTTAGTAAAGTCTTCATTTTATATCGAGTGTCAATCTCTAGCTACAAACGAATCAACAAGTTAGTAAAGTCTTCGTTTTATATCGAGTGTCAGTCTCTAGCTACAAACGAATCAACAAGTTAGTAAAATTCTTCATTTTATATCGAGTATCAGTCTCTAGCTACAAACGAATCAACAAGTTAGTAAAAGTCTTCATTTTATATCGAATGTAAATCTTTAGCTACAAACGAATCAACAAGTTAGTAAAAGTCAATAAATACCTTAAAGAAAAATAATTCACGGTCTTATCTCAATAAAAATATTTCACCCATGAACTAGGAATAAAGTTTATTACAAATCATATTACCTGAGCACAAAAAAAGGTATTTATGTACATGTATAAAAATTAGTTATTAGCATGAAATTTAAAACTTTACACGTACTATTCAATATACAGTACACAAGAAAATAACCAAAATTCGGGTATAAAAGTCCCCAGTGGGACAGCAGAAGGTTTCCAGACTTACAACCCTAAAATCTGTGGTTCGATTCCCCACGGTGTACACAGCTGATAGCCCATTGTGACTTTGCTCTAAAACAAACAAACAGGTGGAAAAATACACACCACCAGGTTGTAACATTAAAGTTCGTACTGTAACAAAAGTCTGCTCAGATATGGAACACACTAAAAATAAATTAAAATTATGTAATAAAGAGAAAAACAAATCATACCATACATTTACTGAAGCGTTTATTACTTGTAGTCTTCGTCGAAGCTCACGCAACCAGACCAACTGATCGCATCCGAAGCTCTAACTCACAGTCTTCTAGTCGTGGTGTGCAGTACACTGAACAGCGAATGGTGAGACGGTAAATTAAGAGACCACATCACACAAAACGCCTTGATTCATTAAGTTCCCCGACAGCATAGCATTAGCAGTAAGTACAATGCTAAGTTTAAAACTCTGCACTTGACCGGTTTTCTCTGATCGTAAGCGTTCTTTGTCGTTAACTCTGGTCAGGGGGCGATAACTTCCGAATAAAGATTTTGTTTTGCCGAGAAAAGTTTTAAAGAAAAACGTGGCCTTTTTGCCGCTATTCGTAAAATATTTCTTCCTCTGAGATAAGACTTATAAAAAAAAACAAATAAAATGTCTAACCATAATTTTGAAGCTTCAAAAACAAATACGTGAAATGAAATAGAACTTCGTGTAAGTTACAAAACGTGAACACTACAGTGAAGTTGTCATATTTTACTTGACACGTGGTCACATAATAATGTAAATATTTGTTCACACTTCCTAAACAAATACTACTACTATTACTATCTCTCGTAAAACGCATTTTCACACCGCATTTACTTGCTCGTTTTTCTAGCATTCAAAATGTGTAATTAAAAAGAAAAAAAAACAACTTTAATTCATTATGAAACGACCAATTACATTTGAGGCCTACAGATACAAGATAAATGACAACAATAATTGGTAGGCAGAGTAGGCAAAGGGAGCATACTTTTAAAGCGTGCAGAATTTATGTAAAATTGCATGTGGTTACAAATGACAACAAATAGTTTTATTCTAATTAAAACGAGATGTAGTGTACACAGAAATGTACCATTGACTTCTCGTAATATGGCAGCACAAGACGCATTCTGTCACTAATCATACCACCTACCGCCAAGAAATGATGTCAGTCCTGAAAAAAAAAAATGCAAAAAGAATGAGCTGTTGCGTCATCCAGGTCACGTGACTGGTGTGGCGCCCTCTAGTTTCTAGAACTATCCTGTACTTTTAATGGCTGGTATCCTGTACTTTGGCGAATGCTCTAGTATTTACTAGATATAGGGTAGTCGGGTATATATAAGAGGGGGACAACGTGACGCGGTAATGTAATGTGTGTAAAGACAGTGAGTAATTGAACTGCAGTCAGAGAGCACGAGAGACGTTACAGCGTTTGTTTAGCGCGATTGTTGAAGTTGAGTGTATCGGTAAAGTTGTATTCGGGAAGAATAAACCAGTTTTATTAAGTAAAGACTTGCGTCGTTAAAATTTCGTCGGAACGAAGTTACGGAAAAAAAATCAATTAAC